GATTAATTAAGCCAGGTCGGCGCAACGCGGCGGTTTGCCTACATTTTTCCTTCATAAATTATGCAGATGGAAAACTAACTATATGAGGAAAAAAAGTGCAATCCTGATTAGTTGAGATACACATAGAAACTGGTCAATGTAGCTACGATAAATTTAGCCTATAGAACTTTGTTTTGCCACGGCCACAATAACTTTAATAATCAGAGGCTGACTGTAAGCTCATAAAACTATCGTCCAGCAAACGGCCTAAGTGTGTCTGTGTATTTTTAATGTTGCAGCAGTCATCTGAAGTTAGTTAGTATAAAGTTCCACGTTCAAAGGTGATCCGCGGTTAGACGAGAAAGGTGTGGGAGCCAGACTACATTGACGTTAACTGTCTGTGCACCCCTCTGGAACTGGACCGTTTGTTTTGTAGTGTCTAAGCCAGAAGTCGGGAACTTTTTGGATCCAGACAGCCAAGAAAGGAAGCAATATATTTCAGTGAGAGTCATAAACCATATTTTAAGATTGAATTCAATTAAGTGTGAGTATAATAAGCCTCTGGATTTATTTTTTTAAATAATGTTATTATACTCACCGTTAACACGACGTGTCTCGATGGTGGCACGCCATTGGAGGAACCAAAATCACAAAATCGGAAGTTTCTAATTCCGATTTACCTGAGAGAGAGCCAGATGAAATCATCAAAAGAGCCACACATGGCTCGCGAGCCATACGTTCCCGACCCCTGGTCTAAGTCGTGCTTGGGCCTAGAGCCAAATTCCGGTTTTTGGGAGGGCCTGGTTACACACAGAAGGCACAGGTATTCAATCAATTTAAATTAACATACTGAAGTACAGAAAAGTGAGAAAATGTGAAAATATGTTCGCGCAGTAACTATGAGAAAGGAAGATAACAAAAACCACATATTCATAAACACTTTCAATAAAAAAAAACCGCAGTATGGGCACTCACCAATGACAAATCAGCTATAGAGTAGGAATCGAATATAAAAATTACTGTGCAGCATGCTCGAGGAGTAACAGCTCCTCCGAGCTTCCTTGGTCAAGTATAGTAGGCTTTGCTATCAGGGCTTCTGTCAGGTTAAGGTTTATGTGAGGCGTCGGCAACGGCTCCTCCAGGTTCCAGGTCAGGGATCATCCTTGGAATTAGTTATGGTCACAAAGTGCAATATCACCAAAATAAAAAAATCTTCAATTCCACAACTTACCTCCGCGATGAACACTCCAGTAAATGTGCTATCTCAGAAAAAGTTTGTCCTGACTGCATGCAGTCATGCCAGAGAGCGTGTGAGACAGTGGCGGCAGTTGCTTTAAATATGTTTATGGAGCGAGTGCTTGTGTTGTTCAACTGGTGCATGCTGCAGTACCCAAGGGATGTCTTATCTGGTGGGCCGTGCCGCATCGGCAGAGGACTGATATGTTCACGAGATTAGGCATTTATAGTCCTCTTTAGTTTAACATGCTATTCAGCATGGGATAACTTTTAGCGCGGATCCCTCGTCTTGCCATCGGATCAGGTTTCGGTTCCTTTCCTTCTCAGTTCTTCGGTAACGGCCCCTCCAGGTTCCAGCTCAGGAATCAACCTTGGAACTAGTTATGGTCGCAAAGGGCACTAGCATAAATCATAAAACTAGTTAATTCCACAAAGTACCTCTGCGATAACTGCTCCAGTAGATGTGCTATTTCATGTAATGTTTGTAGAGACCCTGTAGCACCTTCGATCTTCCATGCCACGCCACGCGTGAGATCACGTGATTGCAAGTTTCGACCAGCCTCTGGGATAGCCACTCACAGGTGGCGCAAACTGCATCAACGCTAAGCCTCTTCCCCCTCGCGGCTGCTAGCATGTGTGTGCTTGTAGCACGACGCCAATCCGTCTGGCCAATCACCTTCAAGGATGACTCACACGAAAACCACCTTGTAGACGCTGTGCTGCTTGCCACACTCACACACGTCGGACCCAGCCCCCTCGCGGCCATACGTGTACTCGTCCGCCAGTCAACTTCCTCCAACCTATTCTCTACTACCTCTCTACAGAATAAACTATTCCTTCCCCCTGGCACCTCACTTCTTCTCTTCCAACACGGAGCTGGGCCTGAAGATTGCAACGGCAAGGGTTTTGCCTATTAACTTAATCCACTGCGATGGGTGAACCGAAAGTCTGGAATGTGCTTTCGATCGGAAAAGATAGCTTAAGTAGGATTGCCACATAAATTGTCGCGCAGCGTAATCCCAAGATATTTTAGTCACGACAGAGAGCCGGCCTCTGACTGTACATAGCTTGGAATGCACAAAAAACCTAAGCAGGTAAAAAAAATACTGCTTGAGTAGTATACTTTTGCTTCCATTTATATTAGAGACACTAATAACCTAAAACACATTTTCTAGAAAACGTACACAAAAGCCATCTTTCTTGTACCGATTTGGCGGCAGCTTAATTCGACTTCTGGCAGACGAGGTATATGCTAGCCTTTTTTAAAAAAAGTGTACAGTTATGAGATGTTTTAGGAAAGTGAAATGACAACTCCTAAAGCATCCAGTTATTATTTTTGCTTATAAAATTTACAACCCGGCACACATTCATTTCAAAAACTTATACGCAGCGAATGGGTGGACGAGGAAAAAAATCTTAAAAAAACACATTTGATTTGATGGCAGAATTATCCGCAGGGGAAGTCAGAAAGTAAAATCTCAAAGGCCGTGTCGGCAGATAAAAGGCCACGCATAATTTGACTTTAAATTTGCGGCAGTCTAAATGCTAATCTGGCAGATGGCGTGGGCTCTTATAAGCCCCTGGATATTTTAGGGGGGGGGGGAGAATGTGGGCGAGTAAGCTGGAAACAGTTTGAGCCCTATTCACATAAACGGCCCCTTACAGAATTAAAAAATTTCCCTGGGGATTTTTCCGTTTAGATCCGAAAAGGATTATTTAAGTTCGGATCGGCACAACGTGGCGATTCACCTAATTTAAAAGAAGTCTGCTGAGGGAAACCGAACTAGATGAGACACGATACGATAAGCAGTCCTATCGTGTAGTTTGAGGGCTATTAAGGTTTAACCTTTAACGGCTACGATCTTCCAGGCCCGGTTCCTTAGGAGAAGAGCGAAGTGGTGGAAAAGCCAGATTGTTAGGAAGAGTATATTCCGTAGAGAATGAATAGGAGAATACGCAGTGGCAAATAGACTACCAGACAACCGCACAACCACAAGCCAGTGGACGGCGAATAAAGTGAGGTCTGCTTGGCAGTCGTCGCATGAGGTTGTGGGGTAAAGTGGACGTCGGGGTCAACACTGTGGGATACGATATGGTCCGGCCAGATAATAGACGAGAGAACGTATCCCAATAGTTATAAGCTAGTGGATAGGATAAGGCGTGAAAGGCCAGATTGTTATCAATGATTTAATAATGTTAGGAGGAGTAGAATATGAGTAATAGGTAAGGGACTCCCAGACAAGTGCAGTCGAGCCATGAATGGGCCGGAGTCCAGAGGCGCAGTCCTCCAAGTAGATCACCGGGTCCGGACGTCTGCAACCGAACAGTAGATCGTCGGTT